TTGGACAGGAGGGGTTCTTCAGCCACGTAACGGAGTACAAAGTATTTTGCTAAAAGGCAACATTTTCAAATTGGAGAGGAGTAGCCAGTGGAACTCCCCCTGGGATCAGCCGTCGGCCTACTTCGTTCAATATTTCATTCATTACCAGGGGGAAGGAAATAGTAGTGTATTGATGAGGTCTGCTCATGACATCAAGCTAGGAGGCACTGCAAATGCTTGGGGGAGATGTGACTTCAAGAATTGACCTCACCTTTCATTAAAAACACACACACACACACACACACACACACACACACACTTTTCTAACCCTTAAATTGTAAAGATATGTTTGAAAGTCTAGGGGCAATATCTGGTGAAATCTCAAAAGCCAGAGCAGTTGTTGAATATGATTTTCAGTGACCAGTGGGAGGGGTTTTTGGTGCCTCTCTCCAAAAGTGGCAGATGCGAAATCAATTATGCAAAAAAAATATAAACCATTGCAGAGTGGCACCCCCACTCTTGGGCTTAACATGGGGTATATTTTTAATTGTTTCTTAAGCACACAATGACTTGGAATCATAGAATCATAGAATTGTAAAGTTGGAAAGGACCACAAGGGTCAACCCCTCTGCAATGCCGGATAATAAATTAATGGTACCTTTTACACAACAGACTGGTCAGATCATGTCTAGAACTGTGTGTCTACAGGGCCTCCTGCAGATACGATCTCATCTAGAGGTCCGTTCCACACAATGTAGGATTTGGGTCTTTAGTCTTGTTTACCCCTTGGAATTCCCTGCCACGTATTGGAATTCCCTGCCACAACTGCTCACAGAGAACAAACTAAATCATAGGGAGAGGAATGGGCAAGCCCAGTGATGCTCTTGGGCCTTGTCAGAATGAAGCCATGCATCTTCAGAACGGGTCTAAGTTTTGGAGAAACTTCTTAACTCTCCCATCAGCTCATCACAAGCTGAGAAGCTCCATTCAAAGCAACCACCACATCCCTGGAGTTTCTGCACGTTCACAAGTCATGCAACGAAGACCTAGATCTGCAGAGAAACAACTGAGATTCTTCACCATGACCCTAGTTCCTTAAGAGGAACTGAAGTCCCTATGATGGCTTCCCCAAACAAATCAAGGGTTGATTTACACATGCTCAGGAAGAGAAGTTAAACCTTGAATTATCCGTTGTTCTAGCCCTCCAGCCTCTTTCACTAAGAATTTACAGCTGAACAGATGTGTTTTTATATTGGATACTGGTGCGATAGAATGGCTCTGTGCTTGTATTATAACATCTCTTTTTCCTTGACTACAGTTGATCATGTTACAACACCAGCAGGAATCCATCTGTTCTGATGTGATCGTTTTGCCTTTTGGAGAACCAGTCCTGGGTGTACGTTTCCCTTTTTCTGACACTCTGTTCTGCCCATAGCTGCATGCATCCTGCGTGCAAATCTAACTGTACTTCAATAGTATTTACCTCTGCTTCCCATCTTCTCAATCTGTGACTATTGTAGTAAAATAGCCTCTTTATGGGGTTGCTTTCAGGAGTGTCTAATGCATTTCTTCACCTCCTTGGTATTATATATTTTCTTCCCCCTGCCTATTTTTAGCTGACAGAATTTTCAAGATTAGCAATGATGAAGAACGCTTTAAAGCCAGAATGTGAGTGGGTTGTCTTTCCAAGGAGGTGCGGACACTTCCTTCAGTTCTGCAGGAATAAAAGCTGACTTTGGTGATCTGCCTACCTTGGCCACATATATACACCATATGCTTACAGCGTATTTAAAGAGTGTTCCCCTCCAAAAAAATATTGGGAACTGTAGTTTGATAAGGGTGCTGAGAACAGTAGCTCTGTGAAGAGTAAACTACAGTTCCCAGGATTCTTTGGGGGGGGGGAGGAAGTGATTTAAATGTGCACACGCAGCCCAAATACAAAACGGGGAAGTTTGCTAATGTTATCTTACGTTGCTTGATTTATTCTATATTATTACTATTTTGCATAATTTATTCTGGTTTTGCTAGGCACAGAAAAGGTTTCCCCAGCCACTCTGGGCAGCTCCCAACAGAATATTAAAAACACGATAAAACATCATACATTAAAAACTTCCCTAAACGATTGCAACTCTTATCTGGCTAGCCCAGGCATTACGCACCCATTGTCAATTTTCATTTTACAGAAAAAACAGCTAGGCAGCAGCTTTTAACAAGCAAACAAAAACATGTCATGTGGCCAGCATGACTAAGCTGCTTCTGGCGAAACCAGAGCAGCGCACGGAAACACCATTTACCTTCCCACCAGAGCAGTACCTATTTAACTACATGCACTTTGACATGCTTTTGAACTGCTAGGTTGGCAGGAGCTGGGACAGAGCAACAGGAGCTCACCCTGTCGTGCAACCCCTAGGCTCTGTGGTTTAGACCACAGCGCCCCCATGTCCCATATTAAGAGGAATGGGCTACAATTTAATGGTGGAAGACATGACTATATCACACCCTCCAAGTGTCCCTATTTTCCAGGGAAAGTCCCAGATTTACAGAAGTCATCTCGGTTTCTGATTCGATCCCGGAATGCCCTTTTCCTATTTTATTGGAGAAATGTTGGAGGGGGTGGAGCTATCTGACCCCCAGGGCCAAGGAAATACCGTATTTTTTTGCTCTATAAGACTCACTTTTCCCCTCCTAAAAAGTAAGGGGAAATGTGTGTGCGTCTTATGGAGCGAATGCAGGCTGCGCAGCTATCCCAGAAGCCAGAACAGCAAGAGGGATTGCTGCTTTCACTGTGCAGCGATCCCTCTTGCTGTTCTGGCTTCTGAGATTCAGAATATTTTTTTTCTTGTTTTCCTCCTCCAAAAAACTAGGTGTGTCTTGTGGTCTGGTGTGTCTTATAGAGCGAAAAATACGGTAACTATACAACCTTTAGAAGATATCTGTGTAGGGGAGTTTAAAAATGTTTGATGTTTATTATGTTTTTATGTATGGTTAGAGCTGCTGTGGCAGCCCAGTCAGATGGGCAAGGTATAAATAGCAAGCTTATTAAGGAATAGGATGTCCCTATTTTCTTTGAGAAAATATATGTTGCATGCAAGTTCCCCCCGGGGGCAACTTCAGTTAAGTATCAGGGGTTGGAAGCTGCTGGGAAAGATCCTGAGACTACGGAGAACTGTTGCCAATAGACACGATCGCTCTGGGTGGATGACTTTAGGCTGTGTCCCCACTATACAATGGTACCTTAGTACTCAAACAGCTTGGCTCCCAAACAAATCAGCTCCAGAATGCCGCAAACCCGGAAGCAAGTGTTCCGGTTTGCGAATGTTTTTCAGAAGCTGATCGTCTGCTGCGGTTTCCGCTTGAGTGCAGGAAGCTCCTGCAGTCAATCGGAAGCCGCGCCTTGGTTTTCGAACGGTTTTGGGAGTCGAACGGATTCCCAGGATGAATTAAGTTCGAGAACCAAGGTACCACTGTATCTTCTGAAGCACATCCCCCCCCCAAAGAATTCTGGGCACTGTAGTTCATTAATGGAAGTGTAACTCTGTGAGGCATAAAAACTATACTGCCCAGAATTCTTTGAGGGAAAAGAATGTGTTTTAAAGGCAGGTTCCAAATGTGTGTGTATGTATTTATGTGGTGGTGGTGGTGTTGTTGTTGTTAAGATTTGTTACCTGTCTTTCACCATGTGGTCCCAGGGCAGGTTACAACAATGGAAAAATACCATATTAAAATCGGCTTGAAAGGAATTGCCATTAAGAGAGTGGCTGGGCAAAGAGGTATGTCTTCGGCATCTGAGGAAAGCTACAACTGTGGAGAGGGCATTCCGCTGTTTCCACAGCTTATTGCAGGTATGTATGGTATGGATGATATATGTGTTTGTATGTGTGTGTATGTAAACTATATGCACATATATATATATGGGTGGGGAGGTTTCCTACAGTATTAGCTTTCTGAGTATAGTTCTCCATGTGGCAATACCTGGACTTGACAAAAGAGTGTTAATAGCCCTGTGATGTGTTGCCATGGGAACAAGAAGGCTAGGTGATGGCTGGAGATGACTCATCCAGATCTCCCAGTCCTTCCCTCTGGGCCAGAGGGAGGGACAATGTTCCTGCCTGCAAAGCTTGCAACTTGAGGCAGACTATGGACAGGTGCAGGGAGCAAAGCTGTGGGCTCTGTGGACATCTTATGTCACTAGAGATCCGAAGTGGGAGCAGAGGACTTTGGCTTTTCAGTTGGGAGTGTTTAAGGTGTGCCTCCAGCTCTGTTCGTGCTGCGTGTGTGTGTCACGGTGGGAATTTACTCCCTGCTGATTCATATTAGGCAAGCACCCTCATTGTACTGTTTCATATGCTCGTTAAAAAGCTGCTGCTTCTTTTTGCAAGCCTATCAAGACATGTAATCCAGCTAGGTGCACTTTTATTATTTGATAATGGATGGTATTATTTCGTATGGATACTGCTTGCAAAAGCTTACAAATGTATAAATTTTAAAACAACACAGAATCATAGATATGGAAGATACCACAAGTAGGGTTCCCATATTGTTTTTGGGGGGCCAAAGTGGTTCAGCTATTTTTAAGGAAATTCAAACCGCCCCTCAAAAAACCCACCACCCACTTCCGACATGGGTTGCCATACGCCCAGGTTCTCCAGGACACTTATACCGATCTTCAGAAATTCCGCCCGGACACTATTTCCGATGGATGAATCCTGGAAATCCCAGACGTACGGCTGCCCTAACCACAAGGGCCGTCTACTCCAACCACCTGCAATACAGGAATCTCAGGGTTAGGCTAAATGACCCTTGGAATCCCTTTCAACCCTACAAATCTATGAGCATAAAGGCAGTGGTTCTTACATATTTTTTTGCTGGGCCTCACTTTTAGAATAAAAATTTGCTCGCCCCATACCAATTTATTAATGAGAAGTACATTGGAAACAAAAAATAAACGACTAGCAGGGCTGGATTTATAACGTAGAACACAACTACTTTATAATATGCTCACGGGACATCCAGAAGGTATAAAACAAAGCAGCTTTCCTAAAAATCTCCCCCAAAATATAATTACAAATGAGCCTCTTACATACGTATGTACCGTAAGTATGTGTGCAAACCCAATCACTTAGTGCCCTTGCTCTCTTATTGAAAAGACACCTAGCCACATTCTGCAAATAAAAAATATATATATTTTCATGCTATACTACACTACACCGGAATGTTTAAATGCTCCTTTGATTGTCCTTGAATCTTCCCGCCACACTTGCCACCCTCTCCTGCCGCACCACTGCGTTAAAATAAAGGGCCCCGATCCTGGGTGGCTCCCAGAGCGTTTCCTAAAGCGACCCAGAGAGAGAGAGAGAGAGAGAGAGAGAGAGAGAGAGGTGGTGGGTGGAGCCCGACGCGGCTTCTTGGGCAAGGAAGTGGCCGCGGCTCCTGCCCAAGGGGGGAACCGGGGCTGGATCCGTCCCGCTCATGGCGGCCACGTCGCTTGCGCGCTGCTGCAGTAGCAGGGCGATCCCCTCCAAGCCCCCGGGGCAGCGGGGCAGAAGACCGCTGAGCCACGGCCAGGCGGACGGGGAAGGAGATCTCCCCGACGGCAGCGGCTGCTCCGCGGCCCAGCGCTCCGGGGAAGCGGGCACCTGCAAGGGCAGGGAAGGGTTAACCGAAGCGGAGAAGAGGGTGGTGGCTCTCCACGAGGAGGCATGCGCGGTGAGTCCGCTTCGCTTTTGCCTCGCCTTGGCGCAGCCGCCTTGGCGCTCCGGGTTTTTGCTGCGGCTGCTGCTCTGCAAACCGGGGCAAGTGTCGGACTTGAGAGTCGTCTTTTTCTATTAGCAAAGGTGTGGTCTTTTTCTGCTCTAGGGACGCTTCGGAACTGGCAAGGGCTTCCGTTTAGCAAGCCCAGATTGCCACGCTTTGCTCTTGCTGCGTGTTTTGTGACTTTAGCTATTGTTTGGCCAGTACTGTAATTGTAAGCACTCTTGTTGTTTAGTCGTTTAGTCGTGCCCGACTCTTCATGACCCCATGGACCAGAGCATGCCAGGCACTCCTGTCTTCCACTGCCTCCCGCAGTTTAGTCAAACTCATGCTGGTAGCTTTGAGAACACTATCCAACCATCTCGTCCTCTGTCGTCCCCTTCTCCTTGTGCCCTCCATCTTTCCCAACATCAGGGTCTTTTCCAGGGAGTCTTCTCATGAGGTGGCCAAAGTATTGGAGCCTCAGCTTCACGATCTGTCCTTCCAGTGAGCACTCAGGGCTGATTTCCTTAAGAATGGATAGGTTTGATCTTCTTGCAGTCCATGGGACTCTCAAGAGTCTCCTCCAGCACCATAATTCAAAAGAATCAATTCTTCGGCGATCAGCCTTCTTTATGGTCCAGCTCTCACTTCCGTACATCACTACTGGGAAAACCATAGCTTTAACTTTATGGACCTTTGTTGGCAAGGTGATGTCTCTGCTTTTTAAGATGCTGTCTAGGTTTGTCATTGCTTTTCTCCCAAGAAGCAGGCGTCTTTTAATTTCGTGGCTGCTGTCACTATCTACAGTGATCATGGAGCCCAAGAAAGTAAAATCTCTCACTGCCTCCATTTCTTCCCCTTCTGTTTGCCAGGAGGTGATGGGACCAGTGGCTATGATATTCGTTTTTTTGATGTTGAGCTTCAAACCATATTTTGCGCTCTCCTCTTTCACCCTCATTAAAAGGTTCTTTAATTCCTCCTCACTTTCTGCCATCAATGTTGTGTAATCTGCATATCTGAGGTATATAATTGTAAGCACACACCCTCTTATTTTCACCCACAAACACTGTTGTTAGTAGCTATTATAGATAAATAGAACCTGCATGGAGAGAGGCAGTATACCAGGCCTGTTGCTTTTTGCACCCTGCTTGCAAGTGCTGAGACACCTGGCTGAAACAGAATGCTAGGCTGGTTAGCCCTGGGTCTGATTCACCAAGAAAACCTGTATGTTTTTAACTGGGATGGGTGGTAGGTGGCAGGGATTTGTAATGGTTGCAGAATTTGGCTTGTTGAAAAGGAACTCTGCTTTATTTATTTATTTAACACAAGATTCTAGAACTTACGGTTATGACGGAAGATAACGCTAGCATGTGTGTAGTCCTAGAAGCCAGAAATGTGACTAACTAAGGTTTGGAGGGCCATGGGTGGGTGAGCCTGCAATCATTCCATACCTCTTTTCACAATGAGCGGAAGCAGAATAAATCATACGAAATAAACAGCCATGCACAAATATACTTGATCTGCATAATTTATGCAGGTCACACCATTCAACTTTGGGTGCAAAATTTGGGTTACATAACAAATAACTATAGTCTCAGTTATGAGCAGAGGAATAATTTTAGGGCAAGGATGCTCTCCTTGGAATATGTGCAGGCACCATGAGCAGGGGAAATTCACATTCTGAGCTCATTCTTCACCATCACTACCTGAAATACACCCAGCACTTCCCTGTGTTTGCACACTGCAGAGTAAAAATAAAATAAAAATGGTGCACAAACTGCACCAGGTTTGTCTACCATCACAGACCTTCTCACTGGGGTACCCCAGAGTTCCCCACAACTGGAAAGCAACTCATCTGCAGAACATTCCTATTCTCTGAGCCCAGAGAGCTGTGACTTTGCTTTACACCTCTCTTCCGAGGCACAAATCCCTTCGCATCCATTTACAATTGGCAATGCTGCATCCAAGCTAGAAAGGCGTCTGCCACTTGGACAAAAATTAGCTGGCTTTCCTTTTACCAATCTGAAATGCTTTGAAAAGCAGGCAAATGCGCTGGGCTGGCTCAAGACGGTTAGCTGCTCCAAGAGAGATTCCTTTTTGCTATCCCATCTTACACTAAAACACTGCTGTATGCAAATCATAGTGAAACGAAGGGATTTCAGAATTTTGCGGAGGGCAGAATAATATTGCTAACCGTCTTACACACATGTGCGAAGCCACCTTCCAAAAGTGAAGAGGAATGCCCTGGCTCTGCACAAACTCGCTCACGCACACACTGCAACGTTTCCTTGTCTCTTCTGCTCCTCACATCCCTCCTCCTCTCCGTCACTATCTTGGAGTATACTGGGAGTCTCTGGAGTGATGCCATGAGCTGTACCTGCTATTGTTTTTTAGGGCTCTTCCAGACAACCACTCATCCTGGTTTGTTTGCAGGGAGAATAGATGCCAGTGTGTTTCACCATCGCTCTCCTTATCACAAAAAGTCTGAACTTTGGGCAGAAGCAAGTTTGCTAACACGAGACCTCCCCATTCAGCTATAATTGCACAACCTGAATTTGCCTGTATGTGACTGGAACCCCACCGCAAAATGGTGACAGTCTGGAAGCGCCCTAAAAGTTGGCTGCTGGGCTGGCCATGCAGACTCAGGAGAAGAATAAAGCTGGAAGACTGCACTAAAGGCGGCATCCCATTGTTCTCCTGGCTTGCTTGGTCTCCCCCACAACCCAATACTACTCCAATAACACTACTCCAATAACAATGGGTGTTCCATGTGCATTTGTCAAGTGCTAATCACGGGAACAAGGGACGCGGGTGGCGCTGTGGGTTAAACCACAGAGCCTAGGACTTGCCGATCAGAAGGTTGGCGGTTTGAATCCCCGCAACGGGGTGAGCTCCTGTTGCTTGGTTCCTGCTCCTGCCAACCTAGCAGTTCGAAAGCACGTCAAAGTGCAAGTAGATAAATAGGTACCGCTCTGGCAGGAAGGTAAACGGCATTTCCGTGCGCTGCTCTGGTTCGCCAGAAGCAGCTTAGTCATGCTGGCCACATGACCCGGAAGCTGTACGCCAGCTCCCTCGGCCAATAAAGCGAGATGAGCGCCACAACCCCAGAGTCGGCTACGATTGGACCTAATGGTCAGGGGTCCCTTTATCCTTTGCCTTTAATCATGGGAACAAGAAGTAAGGTCTGCTGTTCTCTCTGTGTGATTTAAATAGGCTGGGAAGCATAACTACATAGATCCAGTCACTGGCTACCTAGTGTTCACCAAAGTGGCCCATTTGCAGAGAGGACACTGCTGTGGTACTTCCTGCAGACACGTGAGTATTAAACCTTGTTGCCTCCCATGAGGAGGGCGTTCCATCAACAAATCAGTCAGTTTTAAAATGAATTTAAGTGGTAAATGACACACCTGTTCCCTTAAAAGGATGCATATGAAAGCCTCTCTGGGGAAGGCAGTTGAATTGCCAGGGACAAAAAGAAATTGTAGTTGTTTTTGTCCCCTCAAAAAATGTACACATTGTTTGTATATATGATCCTGCACATGTTCACTCAGTTAATTTGTTGAAATTAACTTCCAGTGTGGCTAAGAAGCGTGTTTTATCTGTTTCTGCTGGTGTCAAGAAACAAACCTGAACACGTTCTAGGCAGCCAGCGATTAGGTTTGCAAACAGAGCTAACCTTGAAGACGACCTCCAAATTCCTACAGATGCTTCTGGAGAGATGTGCTTGGGTGAACAGAAATAGCTATGGTGAACCGATCGGGCATACTGTAGATTTAAGATGTAGCCGTGCTCTTTGTATAGCCTCTGATCTTTATGACCTTGGTTTTTGAGTTGCTGTTAAAAGATGTTTTTTTTTCAGAAGACAAATAAAATAGGAGATCTAATCAGTTTAAGTGCCAGCAACTGCCTTGAATACCTTACTAAGTAGCGTCAATTCCCCTTTTCAGCCATTCTTTAAAAAAAATTCCTTAACACACTAGCAAGTTTATTGCTTCCACATTTGACAGTAACAGATCATAATAATTTGGTTTGAATCCCCCCCCCCCGACCTTGAACCCACCACTTGGGTGTAATGCCCACTAAAATCAATAGGCCCCACCCCAAGCAAAACATTCAGCACTGGGATATGTAAAACGTTTTCAGGGGGGCATTTATCATCCCGACGGTCCTTCTCAAACTGTTTATTACTGCTTTAACTTTTCCATGTGAATTTCATTAAAGCAAATGTCAAGAGCTGCTTCTAGACTCTTACCCAGAAATGTTGTTCTGGAAAGGAGGGGTAACAACAGAGTAGCTTATGGGATGTCATAAGTCAATGGCTCTACTCTCCCTGCACCCAAATTTCACAATCCTCAGCACACCGGTTTTTCATAAATTATTTTTTTGTTGCCTGCGCAGTCAACACAAGTCCTCTTGAACAGAGTTCAAACAATAAAATACATCATTAAAAATATTAAAACATTTAAATCCATTCATTTATCCACACTGGGCTGTCATCTCGTTAAGGAAATCTTAATTACCTCCATATGAGTTATTTATTTTAAAATAAATGATTTGATATACATTTATTTTCTTCATATTAAAAAAATCATATTGAAAAAGACCATATTGAGTGAAAAGGAGGGGGGAATCGCATCTTACAGCTTCAATGTCAGCTAATCAATTTTAGCACATTGTCAAAATGTCCATTGACGCTCGCTTCTCAGTTCTATATCTGTTCCAATATTGGATAAATAGTGTCCAATTCCTTTGAAATGTGTCTTCTGAGTTACTTCTTCCCTCCCATTTTATTCATCACCATCTTATTCCAAATTTTCCCCTTCCATAATTTGAGAGATGGCAGATGGGCTGTTCTATAGGTTACTGCTAATAATCAGTTAGGCTTACATATTAATAAATCAATATTTCTGCAGAAAAAGGCCTATCTTCCAGCAGAGTATACATGGAAGAGTTGTGATAGGCCCCATTGTGGAAGAGGCATTCTCTTCTGTGTGAGGAAAGGAGAAAGCTATGCTATAAAATGATGCAGACCACCTGAGGTTTGTTTAAGTCAGGGATGGCCAACTTGAATCTGATGATTGGCTAGATAGAAGTTGGGGTCCAACATCTGCAGAGTCACAGGTTTCCCACCCCAGGTTTAAGCACTTGTCTACAAAATATTTTAACTTTCACCATTCAGGCTCCTGCGTAATTCACCAGAAGCATCTTTTTAATCCCTGGAAAGGGTTGCAATGAATTAATGTGACTGATGAACCCTCTAAGCATTGCAACTCTACACCTGGCGGGTTGCAGAGAAATAAGAAGCAACTGGCATCCTCTGCAACCATTGATCAGTACTGCAAAGCAACTAACCTTGGCCTGAGCAATTATAGTGCACAGTTAATTGACAAAAAACAGTTCAGTACATCTACCATAATTTAACGTTGATTGTTTAGATGATATTTTGTATTGCGGTTTTAATTTTGTTTTAGTGCTGTAATTTTGTTGTTAGCAACCCTGGACTCTCATAAGAAGAAGGGTGAGGTATAACAATATTTTTATTTTTATTATTATTAACTGTTCAGAATAAAGTAAACACCTCCAGCCTCCCTAACTCTTCACAAGCAACCTTTTCCCAGTCTTATTTAGTCATCTGAAAGTGATTAAATACCTTGCTGCATCTATAGTGTATAGGACCTGTGTCACCCTCTTCACATTGATCTCCAAAACACTCTTGAATTGTGAGTTTTAATGCTGCAGTCCTGTGCACGCTTCCCTGGGAGTAAGCCTCATTGAACACAGTTGGATGTATTGCCAAATTTCAAGTAGGATCTTTCTACAAAAGATTCTGGCTTTCACTTTGTGACTAGAGAAATCTATTCCCGTCTCCCCATCTTATGTGAGGTTTCAGGAAGTGAGATCTCTTGACTTCAGTGAGATCTCTTTTCTTCCACTTTGGTGAGTATCAGTGGCGTAGCGTGGGTTGTCAGCACCCGGGGCAAGGCAAGTAATTTGCGCCCCCTAACCCGTGGATTTGCGCCCCCTAACCCGTGGGTTTGCGCCCCCTAACCCTAACCCCCAGGTGTTGCGCCCGGTGCGGCCGCCCCCCCCTGCACCCCCCACGCTATGCCACTGGTGAGTATACAGGATTGCATGCAGAGTGGGGAGAGGAGCGGTTGACTCAGATACTGTATAATGAGTAGGGACATATCTAGGAAGGAGGTTTCTTGGACAATAATTAGGACCATTTGTTTGGGGAGAGGGCAAGGAAAAGGGGGATGCATGGCTCAATTCCTCCTCCTCCTCCTCCTGCTCACTCTCTTTTCAAGTCCCGAGGCCACAAATGATTTATAGGACATCATTAATTTTGTCTTTAAGCACGGGCAATGTTGAGGCCTCATCAAGAATGACTTATTCCATCTCTCTCTCTCTCTCTTTCTCCAGTGTCCATATGGTCAGATGAATGTGAAAGATCCTTCCAAAAAGAAGCGGTTCAATTCCTTTTTCTACGCTTGACGATCGAAGCCTTTTGCATCATACCATGAAGGGGAGGGGGAGTCAGCCATCACTCCCATTTCTTCCTTCTTTTCTGCCCCCTACAGCTTCCATATTTTGCATAATGCTGTTCCTTTGACCTCTGCTGTTCTGCATCCTGAATATTTTCCAATTGCAATAAAATAAAAACCCCATGTGTGCTCCAGTGGCGCTGAGCCATTGACAAGGCTTTCCCTTTCTCTGGTGTTATAAGTGGCTGGCTGGGAAAAGATGGTTGCTTTGCCTTCCAGAGTTATCAGGCTGGAGAGGAGAAACCAGCCACGCTCAGGCTAGCTTTGTTTCGCTTGGTGGTGCTGAGCTACTCTTTGAGAAACATTTAAAGGCGACTTTAAAAGACAGGTTCTCTTCTAGCACAAGGCTGAAAGAAAGTCTCCAAACTGATCCATAACACAATCATTGGATTAGCATCTTTGTCCTGAATGATCTACCTATATTTGCTCTGCAAATGTGTGTTCGTTTGGCTACAAGCTCAACAAGATATTCTTAAGCAACTGCAGGCTTGTTCGGACGTGTAAGCGGTGGAAGCTGGTGCCCATTAGGACTCGTAGGGCAGAAGCAGGGAGGAGGCCAACAGCAGGGGGCGCCAGAGCCAATGATAGGCAGAGTCATTCTGGTTTTGTTCTCATTCTTCTCCCTGCTGTGTTAAGAGGAGGAGACTGAGACTAAGGAGGAGAAGCTGACGGTCAGTGTCACCCCATAGACTGGTTGTAAGTAAAGTAGTAAGCAGGTGGAGGCAGAGCTTGGTGAGACACTGTGCTTGCACTAATAGACCAGCTCCCCTGCATGTATGTCTCACCTGATTTTGTTACACCAGATTATTCCACACTTGATGAACGGCAACTGGATAGGACACAGTTGGGAAAAATTGGCGTCAAGGTGAGAAAGAGGTGGTGCCTACTCCCATATGAAAGTCATCAGCAGATCTTGCATCTTCCAAGAGAGAAAGAAAGAGCATGTCTAGGTGACCCACCCATTCCTGGCTGGCCACTGAATGTATGAACTCTACTAAAAAGCATATTGTCTGAAGTGATAGGAAAGCTCTGCCTGTCAGGTTGGATCACTGCCTGCTCACTGGCACATGCATGGGCAGGGAACTATTTTGCTCCTTGAGGGGCAAATTCCCTGGGTCCTGGGGCCACCTACCACCTGCAGGCAGAGGCTAAACATACTGACACACACTGGACATGACATTCACACATGTTAAAGGTAAAGGACCCCTGACAGTTAAGTCCAGTCATGAACGACTCTGAGGTTGTGGCGCTCATCTCGCTTTATTGGCCAATGGAGCCAATGTTTGTCTGCAGACAGTTTTTCTGGGTCACATGGGCAGCATGACCAAGCCACTTCTGGAGAACCAGAGCAGCGCACGGAAATGCTGTTTACCTTCCCGCCAGAGCGGTAACTATTTATCTACTTACACTTTGACGTGCTTTCGAACTGCTAGGTTGGCAGGAACAGGGACCGAGCAACGGGAGCTCACCCCGTCGCGGGGATTCGAACCGCCGACTTTCTGATCAGCAAGTCCTAGGCTCTGTGGTTTAACCCACAGCACCACCCGTGTCCCTTAACTCACACATGTTAGGGTCAACGAATTTGTGCACCAAGGGAAAGACAGAAGGTTTAATGTGCAAAACGGACAGGAAGACTGTAAAGACGTGTGTTTGGCATTTACCTCCACTTGCAAGCTTTGCTAAGAAAAAGACCCCCGCTTCCTCAGCTATGTTGAGAGGAACCACAGCAAGCTTGCAAAACAGGAAGACTCCGCTGGTTTCCTCTCTGCATGTTGAGAAAAGGGTTCCCCTTTCTCAGTGCACAGGGAGGATGCCAGGTGAACTGGTACCTTTGCCTGCATAGCCAGCTTGGTCCTGCCCTCTCAGCAGCGGCACTTCCTCTCACCTGCAAGTGGCAGCGACTGCCACAATTACCACAAAAGCCATGTAACAGTTGGTGAGGGCAAGTGGAACCGATGCAGAGGAAGAAAGTATGTGGCCCGTGCAGGGTGGGGGTGGGGGCAGAGTGAGAGACATGGCTGGCCAGATTTAGGCCACAGACTCCCCATCCCTGCGCTTTCGATGCTGCAGTGATGAACACACACACACACAAGCCAGTCTTCAGCTGACGTTCTTGGATTTAAGCCCAAGCCATTCCACTGTCGAGACCTGTCTTAATGCTTCAGTCAATCAGCTCAACTGCCTCAGGATTGGGATGCCTGGCTGGAAATGTTCAACACACACTTGTGTGGCTTGGACGCTTCGTGGAAGTCAGTAAGGCTGGCTTCCAAATCACTCTTCTCATGAGCAGGATGTATGTTGCAACATGGCTGGTGTCAGAGCAGGAGCAGGGTGCAAGTGCCTCCCCCACAAACTAGGAGTTCATTCCCACCCACCTATTATTATTATTAGATTGCTAGACTTTGGTCATTAACAAATACTTTTTTTTTGTTTCAGAGAGCTGAACATCATCATCATGATTATTATATCCCACCCGTCTGAGTTGCCCCAGCCACTCTGGGCAGAATACAACACACATCTAAAAATACACTTTTTGCCCTTTCTGTGTACCCCCAGATTCCACCCCCCCCCAGTGCTGCCACTGTGAAATGTGGCTTCAATAAATTATGGATCCATTTGCCAGTATCTCTTATAGACCTTGGGAAAGATAGTGGTTGATGAATATACAAACCAGGATTCATTAATTTTTTAAAAAAAGTTGAGATCTATAATTTCTAACACACATAAAAATAATAATAAACTCCACAGTGTACACACCTTCCCTCCTTATTCAAGGAAAAGTGAGACAATACTTCATTGTGAACTGCTGTTGCACCCAAAATGGAAGGGGTGGTTACTGCTTCCACCTTCCTGTAAAATGTCTTATCTTCCTGAATTATTTTTGAATTGATTATGGCTGCTATCAAACTCACACATGCCATACAAAGCAGGGCACATTTTGCAATATCAGACTTCTTGCCTCCACAGCTCAAGAGGGAAGAGGCTGGGAGGGGGGAGATGTGTGACCTTTGGTGCATTTCAGCTTTTGTTGTGCTTATTTGTTTGATCAACAAACATAGCACAATCAGGTGAAATCCTGCAGTGGTAGAATGGACTGTGCCACTTCAGGATAGGGTGGGCAGCGGTGTCCCTCTTGCATGCTCCCCCCCTTACACAACAACCTCCCTACAGCTTACATGCCCTTCCCAGTTACAGAGTATATCTACTGTATTTTTCGCTCTATAACACGCACCCGACCATAACACGCACATAGTTTTTAGAGGAGGAAAATTCGTAGGCATGCCACCCATAGGCATTCCCTCCATAACACGCACAGACATTTCCCCTTACTTTTTAGGAGGAAAAAAGTGAGTGTTATGGTGCAAAAAATACAGTACTTCCCTTCCTGCAAGTAGGAACTAGTTAACTTGCTGCAACATTCAAAAACGTGATGTTCCCATTACAGTCATACCTCGGGTTACAGACACTTCAAGTTGTGTTTTTTCGGGTTACGAACCGCCGAAACCTGGAAGTACCAGAACGGGTTACTTCTGGGTTTTGGCGGTTACGCATGTGCAGAAGCGCTAAATCGCAACCTGTGTGTGCGCAGACGCGCCGCTGCGAGTTGCGGACACTGCGGGTTGCGAACGTGCATCCGGCACGGATCACTGTCTATTCTGCCATCTCTGAATTCTACCATCTCTCTGCATATGTATCCCACTGAAAATGCAAATGGAGGCTTTGGTGGAAATAAATCCACCTCTTCGGAGGCCCAAGGCCACCCAGCTTCACGGCTAGAGAGGATGTGATCCCTGATTTCCCTGGTCCTAGTCCAGCACTCTTCCCACAGCAGCACACTGGTCTCTGATGAACTACAACTCCCAGCTGCCCCTGCCAGCTTGGCCAATGGTCAGAGATTGTCAGGGATGATGGGAACAACTGGCAGGCCACAGATTCTCCACCTCTGGTTTAGAATCTCCGTCAGTAGTAGTAGTAATAATAATAATAATAATAATAATAATAATAATAATATATTATTTATACCCCACCCATCTGGCTGAGTTTCCCCAGCCACTCTGGGCAGTTTCCAATCAAGTGTTAAAAACGATACAGCATTAAATATTAAAAACTTCCCTGAACAGGGCTGCCTTCAGATGTCTTTTAAAAAGAAGATAGCTGCTTGTTTCCTTCACATCTGATGGGAGGGCGTTCCACAGGGCTGGCGCCACTACCGAGAAGGCCCTCTGTCTGGTTCCCTGTAACCTCACTTCTCGCAATGAGGGAATCGCCAGAAGGCCCTCAGCGCTGGATCTCAGTGTCCAGGCTGAACGATGGGGGTGGAGACGCTCCTTCAGGTATACAGGACCGAGGCCATTTAGGGCTTTAAAGGTCAGCACCAACACTTTGAATTGTGCTCGGAAACGTATTGGGAGCCAATGCAGATCTCTCAGGACCGGTGTTATGTGGTCTCGGTGGCTGCTCCCAGTCACCAGTCTAGCTGCCTCATTCTGGATTAATTGCAGTTTCCAGGTCACCTTCAAAGGTAGCCCCATGTAGAGCGCGTTGCAGCAGTCCAAGCATGAGATAACTAGAGCATGCACCACTCTTGCGAGACAGTCCGCGGGGAGGTAGGGTCTTAGCCTGCGTACCAGGTGGAGCTGGTAGACAGCTGCCCTGGACACAGAATTAACCTGTGCCTCCATGGACAGCTGTGAGTCCAAAATGACTCCCAGGCTGCGCACCTGGTCCTTCAGGGGCACAGTTACCCCGTTCAGGACCAGGGAGTCCCCCACAGCATGGGACTCTTAATCTCAGGGTTGTGGGTTCAAGCCCCATGTTGAGCAAAAGATTCCTGCATTGCAGGGGCTGGTCTATGAATACCAGTCGCTGGGAATCAGGTGGTGAGGGGGGAAGAGTGCTGTTGGGCTCAGGTCCTGCTTGCATGTTTCCCACCGACATTTGGCTGGCCACTGTGAGAACGAGATGGTGGACTACATGGGGCCTGTAAACACCTTGCCCGGTTCCCCATGGAACTGAACGCTAGGGGGCGCACTTCCAAGGTTTTCAAATTTATTTTTTTTAGTCGCGTTTAGTCAATTCTTCGGAGATCAGCCTTCTTTATGAGAGCTGGACCATAAAGAAGGCTGATCGCCGAAGAATTGATGCTTTTGAA